TTTTTCCGAAGAAATAGCTTATGCCTAATTGTTTATCCATTAACAAAAAGCAATCATTGATAAATAAATATTATTTCTGGCTCTTTTCAGAGTGCAATATATGTTAGACTAATAATGTAAAATAAGTGTCATTTTCACAAAGCATACTGTAGCTAATTTTTTCGAGAAAAAATTGTTCAAATATCAGTGGTTACTATGGTAAAATTTGTTTTATAGGTTAATCAACTTAGCAAGGGACCAAAAATAAATGAAAGTGTTCTAGCTATCGAGTTGGGAAAACAATTTGTAATCTGTCCGAATATGAATCCAAATGAGGTTTCAAATGAATAAAACGCAATACAAAATCCGAGGATGTCGTTATCAGGTAACCAAATAATCTGCTTTTGTTTAAAATTTGTTTTTTTGCAATTATTAAAAGCTGAAGATCGGCGATTTGACAGTAACCTGTAAGATAGACTTGCTATTATTCGTATATCCTCAATTGTATAGCGAATGTTTGTATCCAAAAAAATAGCAAGATGAAGAATATATAATTGTAAGGTTTTCTCCAAATTAACAGGTCTTAAGCAAATCAGCTGATAAGTGTCAAGGTAATGAAGAGGCGACTCCATAAAAGGCTTTAACGTATATTTAATAAGTTTAGTTAGAAATAAATCAATTTCGAATAATGTTTGATCACTTTCGTGAGAAGTCCCGTTTAGATCATTACCTAAATACTACCCTTGACGTTATTTATACTTATTAATAATTTATAGTCGTTATTTCTATTTTTTTATTCTTGAAGATTTATTTAGAAAGAGCAAGATGCTTGTAATGTATAATTCAAAGCTCGACCTCGCGAATTAGACGTTTTAGCACCAGAACAATTAAAAAATAAAAATCTAAAATATATACTGCAAAAAAATATTTTATTTGTTATACACGATTTTAAAAATAACCATAAGCAAAAAATAAAAAAAACACAAAATCGGAAAAATTTCACGTGGGGGAAAGTACTATAGTATGATATCTCGCGTATTCATTTTCACCGAATTTAAAAAATCAAAAAATAAAAAAAACCCAAAAATTCAAAGTTCTTCCTAGGTACTAAACGGGTATTGGTGGAGGAGGGTAGTTATTTTAAATATCACCACGTATCACTAGGGAAAAGGGGGCAGATCCAAAAATCATGATTTTGGGGTTCGAACTGACGAACCTCTAACTATTATTCTGGCTTAAACCGTACCATTACGACCTCGGCCATTCGTGATCAATTTTGAAAAATTTTGAAATTGGGTTAATGGGCGCCCCTTGATAAGAACTCGCATCCTGGCATTCATCTGGTTTGCGCGAAGTTCGATCAAACCATTTTTTTATAGGCAGATAATTGCAAAAAACAAATGTCCACGTATTAGCAAAAAATCCTGAACGATTTTTAAAATCTCAAAATTCATTAAAAAACACCATTTGGAAATATATTGCTTACTTATAAAATATGATTATACAATCTATTATTTATTAATATATCGTCAATTTTACCTTTTATTGTTTCTTAGCAAGAAGGAGGTGTATTTACGCTACGATAAAAACGAGCTGGACAAGAATATCTATCCTAATGGTGAGGAAGGAGGACCAACGGTTGCTGAAGTGGGTACCTGTAAATTTAAGATATTTATAAAATAAATATATTTAATAATTATTTTACTTATCATTTTTATTACGGCAGGAGATACTAGGGAAATTTAGCCTGTTACGGTAAGGGAATGCAAAATGCTAAGGAATAATTAAAACTCTTGTTGAATACTAATCCTGTACAGTGCGGTATGAACAGATAGGAACAAATAATTTTAAAAAAGTTAAATTTTAAAAAAAAGTATTAAACAATTATCTAAACTGTAAATTGTTTCTTCAAATGTATTTTAAGCTGTCTATTGTGGGATTTGTCCATATAATACTCTGGAATAAATATTATGTAGCTCACTTGACAAAATTAGCTTACCTTTCGCAGTTAGGATTTTGCTGGGTGGTGGTCTACCAAAATAATCTCTCTAACATTTCAACAAATTTTCAATTACGGTGAATATTTTTGTCGATAAGAATAATAATAGTCCATACATCATAGCAGCCTACCTGGAAGTTAATTTGTTCATGAAAGCCACGTCAAGTGCAGAACAAATTGAAAAGTAGACAAGGATCTGTAAAAAAAAGTGTCAAGATGAAATCGATTTTTATTCAGCATGTTAGTTGTCTGGCAGTTTGAGCATTGATCATGAATGGAAATATACTATACCTAACCGTGACAATATAATCAATTGGTTAGCACTTGATGATTATTTCCACTCCTTTGCAATAATTTCTTAAGACAAATGGAACTAGATGTGAGTGGCATTTTGCGGTAAGGCAGTTGCCTAAACTTCCCAAACACATAAAATTTGTCCCGTTCCATCGTATCACAAAATTCTTCTTTTCGCATACTCTGCAAAACTTTATCATTTGCCTTGTCGTTAAATTTCTTTTAATTTTTATGAAATGTATCTTTACTATATCATTTTCTGCACCATAAAACTAAAAAAAATTGACTTTAAGAGTTCGAAAATAGATAACTAAAAGTCTATCATGGCAGCAGTGACAACGATTTTCACTTAGAAATATAGATCTCAGCAAGGGAAAGAATTCAGTGTTGATTTAGTTTATACTTCTTGTTCATTACAAACCATAGAATTTTTTTTAGACTTATAAACATTGAGAATGTACGTCAAAACTAAGAATAAAATTTGGAAAAGGAGCAAAGTATTGGAGAACAATATAGGCAGCAATCTAAATTAAAATAGATAGGTACTAAATTAGACATGTTGTAAATCGAATTCAATATATGCAAAAATATGACGCAGGTCAAAAAGAATCGAGGATTATTTTAGGTGTTTGCTAAACGAGAAGAGCATTATTAGAAATTGAAATTTGGAAATGCAGTCATTGTTCGAAAGGTTTCAAAGGCAGAATATAAAAATTACAATGAAAGGATATTAATATCTTAATGGCAACTGAGCATATTCTGTTGTCCTCTTGGTCTCAGATATTTGTATCACAGTTCAGAGTAGCATAAGACAGCTGGTGATTGCCTTAAATATTCTATTGATATAAATGCGATACTTGTTCAAAGTTAAAGACTCTAAAATTGCAACTGAAAATTCACAAATGAATCTTGATGTTTAAAGACGCTTTCCAATAACAATGAATATGTCAAAATAATCGAACATAAGTCAAATGGATTGCTTGGGCAAATACAGTTTAGCACAGTTAGACACCCTGCTAGAAGCATGCTTTTGAATTTTCAAAACTGCTGCAAATACATTTCTTAACGCTTCGTTTTCCTCGTAAGAAAATAAATTCAAAAAATATTATCTTACCTAAAAATCTTCAAGTTTGTTTTTCATTTTTTGCACATATGTAATTAATTAAGTACAGTTTCCATTGTGCACCTAATACAATCCATAGAATATCAGTCAACACCATCATCTTCAGCATCAAATTATTTCCTAATTTACTTTCCATAAAAATTACAAAATATGTCAAAAAATATTTAAAATGAATTATTTTAAGGATTTCGACTATGATGTTTTTTTATTTTTCATAATATAAAATATTTTCGTTTATTTAACAAATGCAGTTGTTCATTTATTTAGGTAACTAACTTTCATTTTACCCAAAGTCATTATTCTATGAGAAATTATCAATATACCTGTATATCCATAAGAAAACACAATTTTAATTATGGATAAATGTTCGTTATATTTCATTTGCACATCATCCATATATATCATATTGAAGAGTTTAATACAAATCAGGTTAAAAACACTTCAAATACTTATTCTATTGTAAAAATCACCTAGCAACTGAAAATATAATAATATATTTCAAAACATTTTAGTTTCAATAACAAGTGAATAGTCTTTTAACAATTCTTAAACATGTTGGGTAAAATTTAAAAGAACTAATTCGTATTTGGTGTGAAAATGGCGTGAAACTAAGTATTTTCCAAAATTTATATATTGCAGAGCCAGGTCAGTGTTGTAATTTTCATTTGTTAGGTTTTGAGAGTTGCAGCCGAAATTCGAAAATTTGAAGGAGTTTGAGTTAGACAATTAAGGGCTGGCTGATAACCGTAGAAAAGACAGGTGGATTAAGAGTCAGCTCAAACCGTTATCGAAACTATGAAACAATGATTTAATATTTAACATTTAACAATTATTATTAATAAGGTTAAATACACCTGAGTTGACTCTTCATTTGAATTGAATTAATATATTTGAAAATTAATCTTTAACATATTTGAAAATTATTTATTAACATATTTGAAAAATAATCATTATTATTATAAATTATTTCCTTTTGGTAAAGTCTGATCGACTAATAATTATTTTATTATCTTACAAATTATTTAAAAGAAATGTGCAATATATTCATAAAAAATACAATAAAATATGTTATAAAAGGTACTAATATTTATTTTATATTTCTCAAAGAGGTATTTTCTATTAAATAAATAATTTATGAATAAATTAGTAAATAAATGATTAGAGTAAAATTTTTGTGCATTCAACATGTGGATTTCTGAGGTTTTATGGAAACGTTGTTTGGCAAGGTTTATATCGATGCTTTTCTGACGCAACCTCGTAACTCGATTTTTGACGATTTTGAGTTTTAATCGGAAAATCAATCACTAAATATAGACGCATAGATCTGTGAAGTTTTGTAAAAAAAAAATCAACCGAACGTTTTTTATTGAGAAAAATACAATCACGTATCTCAATTCAGAAAAATGTGCCATGCGCAACCTCGTATCTCAGAATACATGGTGACGTATATGAACAAGTTTCGCTGTCAGCAATGTTGTTTAGTTCAATCCTTCTAATAAAAATTATTATTCAATTAAGTTATTTGTTATTAAAACTTAATGAACGATAGTTAATAAATATATTTATTATTTACTTACCGCAAGTTATAGTAATTTTCCGAAAATTGAAAATGAAACTTTTTGCATATTTAACGTTTCAGAGGTTTCTGAATATCTTGACATGCCTTAATAAAATGGATGTATGTGTTTGTGTGCGTGTGTGTGGATATAATTTTCTGTCCACGTTTTCGGGAGCACAGATCAACCGATTTGAAACATTCAAAAAACAATCGTTTCCTATTGAGAAAACAGAGCATCCGATTTGAATTATTTAAAAACATTCAATTTGTATTGATGACGTGGTGATTAGTTTCTGGAAAAGACAGGCCCAGTCGTTTCAAAGCTTTTGATTCGAATGATTCAAAAAACATTTTGCAGTATAAAGAATCGATTAGTTTAGGAAAGCAGAATTTTATTTTGTACATTTTTTTAATTTACAATTATTTCTTTGTTTAAATATGAAAAATGATTCGAATTTTAATTTTAATGCTAGCTAAAATTCTAAAACTCTCTTATATACTTCAAATAAATAAATTTAAATTTGCAAATTAGTTTATATAATTCTTAGAAATATATATGAGATATGTTTTTTTTTACTTTTATTTACTTTTTATGTAAACATATATAAACGTCGTTGTCCAGTTTATTCTTATATTTTGTCATTCAAATACAAATAACAAAAGTTACAGTATTTACAATAATCTATTTGTAATCATTTATTATTCCTCGATTCTACTTAATTACGGAACGGGAAGTTCCACCAATTTGCTTAAAGGCACGATGCCATGCACCACTAGTTATATTTTTATTATGTTGAGAACAAATATCACAGTAAGCTACAAAAATTAAACAATTATCAATTCTTACTGACAATAAATGAAATTAAATTTTGTATTTTTTAGAGTTAGATAATGTGTCATCCGCAGATAAAAAATCATTAAATAAAGAAATAATAACAAAAAAGAATAAAAGTAACAATAAAAATGATAATCACAAAGTAGTAAATTATAAATCCATGAAAGAGCTAAATATCCTAGATATTGAAATACCTAAACTATGGCCAGATACTATATTGTCGTAATTATAAACTAACATATACCACAAGTTTAATAATGTTTGTTTTTTTATTAAGAATTATTTAAAAAGTTGATCGATTCTCAAAATAAAACAATTGAAGAAAGTTATTCATGTACTCTTATTTGAAAACAGCATGACGCAACCACGTATGTTACATTTTTTTCCGTGCGACAAACACGTATCTCAAAGAATTGAAGAAAAAATAATGATTAATTGTTTGTAATATAATACTTGTCTCAAATAATTGTCACAAGATTGAATATTTTTAAAATTTATAAAAAAAATTGTTAACAGCAGTTCAAAAATTCGTTATAAAACGTTTTTTGTCTCTCCTGAAAAGTAGTAGTTTCTGAGATACGAGGTTGCGTCAGAAAAGCATCGATATGTTGTTTATTGGATATTGGTTTATTGGTTTATTATTGGATATTGGTTTATTGGATAATTATTGGATATTGGTTTATTGGTTTGTTCTTGGATATTTAATTTTATTTACATACATTTAATATAAATTTAAATTTTGTTTGTTAATCAACGTTGAGATAGATTGTGTAGATTAAATGCATAACAAAACAAAAGAACTCGATATATTGACCATTAGTTATTTGAAACCAAATTTGATAAAAAAAATTAAATAGTTTTAAAAAATAGTGAATACATAAGACAATAAAAAATTAAAGTGATGATTATAATGCAATTGGAGCGATTATAAATACCTTTTTTATAATGTTTTATGATTGTTTTTAACATTACTTGTATTTTTACTGTTGCCAACTTTTTCTTTTGCTTTTAATTGTTTCTATACAATTCTCTCGACTATGATCTTTTAATTTAACGTATGCTACTGAAATATCAAAAAATTTCCATAACCACTGAATATTCTAAAAAAAAATGCCAGCAGAAATTTCACTATTATGGCATTGCATATTCATTATTTTGGCGTCATTTCTGAAGTAATTGAATGATAAAATGCTAAAGTAGTCTAATGCTCCTCAATCTTGATGACTGCTGACAAATCTTGAACATAATCAATTTTTTTATCAACACATTTTTAAACTTTTTTATACGGTCCAGTGTAACACTGTTTTTACTTTATATGGGTTATTTAGTTCCTAAGCGCCGTGCAGGATGTTAACTAGAAATTTATTAATTTATTCTGATTATATCGTTGTTGTATTTAAATTTGCAGATTTACTTTAAATATAATTTATCTTTAGATCCGAAAAAATCTTACATCATAATTTTACACCCACAGAATGTTTGGATGTGTGATAAATTATTTAAAATAATAATCGATTGATAATTTAGGATTATGATTATTCTGAAGAAATTAGACAGAGCAAAAGCACCGATCCTACAGAGTTCGATTATCTGTCAGCTTTGCAAAATGACATCAATAAGACTACTGGACGTCTCGCAAGCAGCACATACAAAAATGACAAGGTGGGTTTAAAAATGTAAATTTTAAGAAATAACAATATTCGTGGAAATGATCGAAATCATTGATTGGAAATTAAACTTGAACCAGACTTTTCTATCAAACATACTCCATATCTTCTTTATATGGCACTCATACACAAAGGTTAAGCTTATATAAGCTATGAGCGTCATAGCGAACAGATTGACCCTATCCACTCGGATGCCGCGGCAAAATTCATATAAATCTCGGAATTCGCGAGTGGAAAGGGTTAAATTATCTGGGCACAAGTTTTATAATCCAATTTAATCAACCATTCTCAAATCATCCACAAATAATAATATTTCTAATTCGTTTTTAGGAAACTGATGGAGAAATTGACTTGAAACATCGTTTGCATTTCGTGAAGTATGTTAAACGCAATGACAGAACAATCAAACTTTGGGAATGTGGTGTATGTGAGTATTCTTTCTGCAAATTTATTTAATTATGTAAGTATGTTTTTTGTATTATGTATGTAATTAATCAAATATTGCTAAATCTTTTTCTACTCCTGTTAAAATCATTAAATCATTGGCGCGGTTTGAAAACTCCACTAAATAAGAAGATATAATGTAATATATGAAATAATTTCGTATTATAATTTTTTCTCCGAGCACTTCTATTTAACAAACTTTCAAAATATCATTTATATTTATTAAAATATAATAGAAACTAGTGCGGTGTATGGCATCGTGCCTTAAGGCAAATTGCTGGAACTTCCCGTACCATAACGAAATGTTCGAGGAATACTGAATGTTTTCAAATAGATTATTATTAATATTGTAACATTGTCTAATATTTATAAGAATTATATAAACTGAATTGAAATTATTTGTTTAAAGTATATTAGAACTATAGTTAGAATTAAAAATAAAATCTGAATTATTTTCGATATACAAAAAATTTTTTTTTGAAAAAAAGTTGAAACAAATTTTTTTTTCCAAATTCAATTATTTTGTTAAGACAAGCAGAAAGTTCTTTGAATCATCGGACGCGTAGTTCTCTCAAAAGCTGCCATTTTTTACATATTTAGCTCCGTATTTTCAAAATGGCTGGGCCTGCATTTGCCAAAAATAATAAACACTTCTCCCAATCATTACTAATTAAATGTTTTTTAGATCATTCAAATCGGATACTCCGTTCTCTCAAAAAGTCGATTTCTATTTTCTGCACTCTTTGCTCCGTATCTCCGAAACGGCTGGACCTGCCTTTGCCAAAAACTAATCAGCTCTTCTCCCTATCAATAGGAATCGAATGCTTTTTGAATCATTCAAATCGGTTGATCCGTGCACCCGAAAACGTGACTGGAAATTTGTATCCATACATACATACACATACACACATCCATTTTATTATGAAGTATGCCAAAATGTTCAGAAACCTTCAAAACGTCGAGAAATGTAAAAAATTTTCAATTTCGATTTTCGGCCCATTACAATAACTTACCCTACGGGAAGTTAATAAATATTCCATAAAAAGTACAGGCACATAAGTTATAGATAATTAATTGTTACTTTTCTCTTCCTAACTATGATTTTTGCTAAATTACCAAATTTTAAAATTCCGATTAAAATCTGCAGCTGATACAATTTGCATTGAGTATGAAATTAGTGTGTTTGAATTGCTGTCATTTTTCAGTTTAGTGGTATTTATTTTCCTATTATTACATTCTTATGATATTATACTTTTTTAGGTTCTCGTGAATTCCAACACCAGTACACCCTGATGCGTCACCTGCCAACGCATACTGATGTCAGAAACTACCAGTGCACCCAATGCAATAAGGCTTTCCGTCAGTTGTCAACTTTGAGCCAACACAAGGCCATACATAGCATGGAAAGGCCTTATGAATGCGAGGTTCGATTTATATGTTAATAATATAAATATATATTGGTTAATAATAAATAAGTAAGAATAAATAAGTTTAATCAAACGTAAATGGTATCAATTTATTATCATACTACACCCATGAATTCCTGCCTTATGTGTCCTCTTTTATTTCCTCGCATTATTGATTCATCCCAGACATTTATGAACCGATTCTGCCGCATAACAGATCAATGTTATGGCAAGGCTATGTTATGAAGAATTTTCCATACTAAATATTGACAAAAGCTATATGGTTGTGATTGTGCAGTCAGTCGTTTATCTCATGTTGTCAGATACAAAACCTAACCTAGAAACGACACAAATGTCAGAAAAACGATCTTAGATAACAGGATCTTTCTGACACAGCTTCATACCATACAAATGAAGTTTCAGTTTATGTGTGAAACGCCTGAATGAACAGCAAATACATGACATTTCGACAGTATTCAGTATGATTCAGTAGCATAATGTATGGAAGTTGGAGCGTAACATTGCCTTGCCATAACTTTTGTCTGTTGTGCGGCAGAATAGGCACATTAATTTAAAGTATTTAAACAGAAGCATTTTAAATCCTTGACTTTGATTCTTTTTATTATTTATTATAAAACACATTCGAGCATGGATTTCAAAAAAATCATATCTCAAAAATTGACATGCAAGTCCATTAGTCAAAATGAATTGTTATACTGTAAATGCAATATTTGAAAAAAGAAATGTAACAGATAGATGAAGATTGATGGGGCAATTCTACGGTAACAGAGCTCATAACATAGTGTTGTCGTGGCAACCCTATCTTATGCTTGTTTAGTAATAGAAAAAAATTAAAAATGTCTATCAATAAACAAAGCATGAATAACTGCATCATCGCAAATTCTGTTATCATAACATATTTTCCCTTGCATTGTTTATATGTAAAATACGCCTATGCGATCAGGCAAATAGATAGACATTTTCATAATTGTCACTATTAATAAACAAGCATAAGATAGCGTTGCCATGTCAACGCTATGTTATGAGCTCTGTTACGACAGAATTACACCATGAAATTTAAAAATTAAGATAAAGGAGTTGTAAAGAGTTTGGAACACTATTCCTAAATACCAGATGTGAAACGGTTGCCAATCAATACTGAAAACAAAATCCTTTTTCTTTGTTAATACATTATTCGGTTTAATTTGAACATGTTGAGATGTTAATATTCCCTTTCTGACAAAACTGTGGCAAAACCTACTCTGATTTCTGAAATTAACTTCAAAATAAGAATATTATATGAAGCAATATCAATCACGACTTGTATAAGAAATTAGAGAAATGCTTCATTGGAACAAAGTCATACATAAACAGAGACTACAAAAATCTTGATGTCCAACTCTGGTTTCTGAAATTAACTTCAAAATAAAAACACCATAAGTATAAACGTTAATCACGACTTGAAATCAAAGAAATTAGTAAAATGCTTTATTTGGGCAAAGTCTATATAAACAGAAATCACAAAAATTCTGATAAAATCAACACTGGTTGGTTTCTGAAATTAACTTCAAAATGGAAACATTATAAGTACCAACGTTAATCATGACTTGAAATCAGAGAAATTAGTACAATGCTTTATTTGACAAAGTCATACATAAACGGAGATCACAAAACCTGACAAAACCAACTATAATTTCTGAATTAACTTAAAAAACATTATAGGTACTACTAACCTTAATCACGACTTGAAAAGTAATAAGTGAAGTACTTCATTTGGACAAAGACATACACAAACAGTGACCACAAAATTTCATGGCAAATAAATGTTATTCCTGAAATTAACTTCAAAATAGAAACATTATAAGTATTAACTTTAATCACGACTTGAAAAAGAAATTAGTGAAATCTTTCATTTGGTAAAGTCATACATAAAGGAAACCAGAAAAAATCCTGACAAAACCAACTCCGATCTCTAAAATCAATAAAAGAAACATTAAAGGAATCAATCGTAATTACAACTTGATAAAGAACTTGGTGAAATGCCTCATTTGGACAAAATCGCACATAAATAAAGACCACAATCAATTCTGGCAAATTCAACTCTGATCTCTTAAATCAACATCAAAACAAAAACATTATAGATATCATCGTCAATCATTACAACTTGCTTCATTTGGACAAAGTAATACATAAAGGAAGCCACAAAAATCCTGACAAAACCATCTCTGATCTCTGAAATTAACATTAAAATAGAAACATAGGAATCAACCCTAATCACAAATTGAAAAAGAAATTAGTTTCATTTGGACAAAGTCATACATAAAGGAAACCAGAAAAAAAATTGTGACAAAACCATCTCTGATCTCTGAAATCGACATTAAAATAGAAACATTATAGGAATCAACTATAATCACAACTTGAAAAAGAAATTAGTGAAATGTTTTATTTGGACAAAATCATACAGAAAAATCACAAAAAGTCATGACAAAATTAACTCTTATTTCTAAATTTGATTTGAAAATACAAACATTATAGTTATCAACTTCGATCACGACTTGGAAAATAAATGAGTGAAGTGCTTTATTTGTACAAAGTTAAACCAGCAATAATTTCTGAAATTTACTGAATAAACCGTCATTTTTAGACAGATTATTGTACTAATAGTAAAAACAAAGCTTGAATCGCATATAACCACATCGCCTCAAACAATTTGTCCTGTTTTTAAAGAAAATTTTCGATTATTTTGGCATTGGCCTCTATTCTATTATTGGAGAGTGTTATTGAGCTTTATTATCATTATAATTATTTCACTCTAATTAAAAAATATTATTCAAACGCAGTTATATAATAAAAAGTAAATACAGACAATAGAAATCTTTTTTATATTTTTACATATGATCAAATTTTCAACACCCACTAAAAAATAAAAGAAAATTGATCATTTATAAGTCAAAGCAAAATAGTATTAAAAATACGTTTTTCATAATAAAGAGGTATTTTAGTACTTATTTTTAATAATAAATTTAGTTAATCAGTATCGCATAAAAGAAAAAATGATACCACCTACCAGTGAATATGGTTCTAATCATTTTTCTCCAAATACGTTGCCACCATGAATAAAATATGGCTCCCATAACTGCAGCCAAACTGTTCTTTTATCTATTACTGTAGCCAAACTTATGGCATGGCAGCCGATACTTATTGTCCAAAAAAATGTAATCTGTAAATGTAAAATTTTCTGTATTGTATCAGTGTATTTGTAATCATATCCGATATTTAAAAAAGTGTAATATTATTAATAGCAACAAATAAACTCATAAATGCTGCTCATAATGTTGCGTTGGCATTTGGAGCCGCAAAAGATTTTTTATAAAGCTCAAACCAAATGGCTCCAATATCTCTATAATTAGGTAAGTTTCGACCCATAAAAATAACTAAATAAATAATACATATTGATAACAAACCTTAGTTTTTAATATATCACATACCTGGTAAACACCGTTAAACGCCATTTTGACTTATATTATTTATTGTGTCTTTACAGATCTGTAACAAATCCTTCAATCGTATTTCGACTTTGATTTCGCACAGAAAAACACACAGCGATTTTAAGCCGTACAAATGCAACATCTGCAGCCGCGGATTTCATCAGAAAGGTAATTAACTGATATTCAAAAAGTTAGTTAAAATAATAAAACTTACAATCTTTCATGAAATTTGACTTTAACAGCATATCTGGTTGCTTAAAACTTCTGTACAATACTCTTCCTTATTGCATATACACTTTGAAAATCAAGCCATCCTTTTCCCTCACGCAAGGAGTTACTTACGAATAAAAGAGAGGACGATAGTAACTGAACTCCCAAAAAATTACTGATCAACGTTCAACCCAATACTGGACGTGGTTCTTCCTCTCCAACTTCATGTCAATAAGAGATTAGGTGTTACAACAAAACCACAAAAAATTAAAAGCGCGAAATTTGAAAATGTGCGAATCTTATAAATTTTAGTAATAAGAAATTTAACGACAATTAGAAGAAAAAAATACATTTCATTTAAATGGCGTTTAAATGACACCTAAATTACATTTTTGTTCAAAAATAATAATTATACTAGATAAAACAAATAATATCTCAAATTGTTCAACCATGTTGAATTTTCTTTCTGTATACTAAAGTTGATTTATATTTGCCTTCCTAAAACACGCATTAATTTTAAAGGATTTTATTTTTTTATACTAATACATTTGTTACAATCTTCTTAAAGTTATTAACATTCCGTAGGATAATTTATAGTAATCGCAAAAAAATCGAAAATGAAAATTTTTATATATCTTTATCTTTTAAAGGTTTCTGATATTTTTCGCATACCTTAGAAAAAATGGATGTATGTGTGTGTATGTGTATGTATGCATGCGTGTGTGTGTTTGTATGGGTATGTGTGTGTGCATGTGTGCGTGTGTGTGTGTGTGCGGATACAAATTTTCGTCGACGATTTCGGGAACACCGATCAATTGATTTGAATAATTCAAACATTCAACATTCGATTCGTATTGCTAAGGAGACGTGCTGATTAGTTTTTCGCAAAGGCAGGTCTGGCCGTTCCGAAAATAGGGGGCCAAAAGTGCCAAAAACGGTAACTCAGTTTTTTAGAGAACGAAGCGTCTGATTTTATAATTCACAAAACATTTCACTTGTATTGACGAGATGAAGAACTGATTAAATTTTTGGGAAGGCAGGTCTAGCGGTTATGGACTCTCAATGAAAATGAGTTAAAAAAATGTCATTTGGCGGTCAAAAATACTCATTGGACATATGTACATTAAATTATCAGATATTTATAGAGATTTTAATGATTTGTACACATTTTGTGTAATTTTTTTTGGGTTTCGAACCAAGATTTTAATTGTGGTACGGGAAGTTCCAGCAATTTGCCTCAAGGCATGATGCCATGCACCCCACTAGTTTGATTTCAATTTAATAACAAGTCAACTCTATTTTAGCATCATTATGTCTAATAATAATTGGATAATTAATCTCACAATTGCCACCCTAAAACAGTTCTACCTTCTCCATCGCGTATTTATAAATAATGTTAAAAACAAAACTTAATTGTTAATAATAATATTAAATTTTCTAGACAACTTAAAAAATCATGTTTTCACTCTTACAAACGAGCATCCTTTACCAGTATACAGTTGTACGCTTCCTAACATACATTTATAATCAATGTAATTTTACAAATAATTGAAGAGCTTAAATTTTTATAACAATAATAATGAATATTCTAGGTAACTTAAGAAATCATATTTTCACTCATACAAATGAGCGTCCTTACAAGTGCGACCAATGCCATAAAGGATTTAACCAAATGTCGAATTTGGTGTGCCACAAAGTCAAGGTTGGATTATTCATACCTATATATCTTATATAAAATTTACAGGGTGTCCCAGAATTGAACGTCAGACTGATACGGGGTGGCAGGATTGATTGTAACCAAAATTAGAAATTAGAAAAAACAGAATTTATTCCAGATTATGAGCTTTTTAATCTCGAGATGACTGTAACCGAGTTATTGTGGTAAATTTTTATTATTTTTATTCATTTAAATGTTGGGACCATAATCCTATATAACACTTCGAAGACTACAGTCGAAATAATTTCAAATTTGCTCTAAGTTTTCTAGAATTAAAACTATTAAAATAAACTATGGATTCAAAATTTCAAATTAGTCAAAGCCACCCCGTCGTTGAGTTCTGGAACACCCTGTATAATCTGTATAACCATTCATTTATAAGATAGTACAACTTAAATCTCTTAAATTTTAGGTGCATACTGATGCAGCTACAAAAATGAAATTCCGTTGTAACTATTGTGAACGTGAATTTTCAAAACAAGGACAACTACAATCGCATGAGATGAAGAAGCATGGAGTCACCATTGCAAAACCAAGTAAGAATCGGGGATCAGGTACATCAATTCACACAGAGCAAGATCATTATCATCCTCAGAAAAAGCTAACCAGTAGCCCTTGATGATAATGCAATTATTTAAAAAATAATCTTGCTCTAACGATAAGTTGCAATATTCATGAACTTTTCCGAAACTTTAATGCATTTTTATAATTAAACCACTTTTAGCAGGTCTATAATATTTTAGAATGTTCGCTTCTTTCTAAACTTTTTGAAATATTTTAGCAAATAATTAAAATTTGGTTACTATTTACAGGTAATCAAACGAGTCAAACAAAACACAGGAGGAACAATAATTCTTCGGAAAAAACGGCAACCGTGACAAGCCAAGATTGTAGCAAGGAAATTCAACATGAGTAAGAAAAACTGATAAAATAATAAAAATTTTATATTAAGGAAGACTAGGTACGGTTGTGTCACTTTTTTAGTCAGCAATAATTTTCTTAATTTACCAGTTAGTTGACATACACCCAGGAACGGTTGTGACAGGCATAAAAATAGGTTATAAAACAATAGCTATAAACAGCAAAATTATAACGACTTTTATTGCTGTTAATAGCAATACTATTTAACACAACACAACATAAACATTTTAACAAAGCTTATAAATAAAATATTACAACAATATATAATAAATATAATTTTTTTAAACAACGTTGACAAGAATTCTTTGTGAATTTCAATTTCAATTTTCTTCTTCTTATATTGAATTATCTTTTTACTTTCTTTTTCGTATTTTGTCTTATTTTTTTGTTCTTAGATTTTTTTGATCTGTTTAATCGTCGCCCGAACAGGACAAGAAATACATGTCACAACCGTACTCCAAAATTTGCCACAACCGTGCTCAACGCACACTTGTGAAAACAAATCATCATTATGACTGAGCTAAATTAATTATCTAACAATAAACAAAAACTAATTGCTGATAAATAACTACTAATGATCAACTTACAGCAAACAAAGTAATCTATCTTATACAATTAAGAGTTATGATTAAAAGAATTCAAACATGAAAACTTACTTTTGACTCTTTGAAAGCAATGCGGTCATGGTAATGTAAGACATTGACTGAAAGCAATTATGTAAACTCGTTCGAACAATCATACTTCATCTCTCCCCTTTGGACCCTTTATCAAAATCAGTATAGTTTAGCTGTTATGACGACTGTCACTACCGTACCCAAGCACAAACGCACCCAATCTCCCCTACTATACACCATTATTTTTTAAAAACTATTTCTTTTATATTTGCCGTTGCTAACAGATAATCAAAAAAATTTTTTTAATGTACAAATTTAATAGCAATCAGAATCTAATTATTCTATAAGCTATTGAGATGTATTTGAACTCAAAACTGAGTTCGCAAATGTGGCTTGTTTAGGAAAATCTCCAATGAGAGCCCCTTATTACTTACATGAAAATCAATAGGATGTTTTTCTTTAATCTTGTCCTGGTATCCAA